CTAACACGCTACACATGTATTTTGACTTCTATTTCGTGTCATAGCGTGAAGACGGAGTGGACGAGCGAGAGACTGTGGAAGAGTCTAAGTCTAGTTTAGCTTGGGCTACCTGTGGAGAGCATTTGCGCTCAAATTTTGTCTGCTGACTAATAATTAGCCCGCGATCAGTGTTCAAATTTTTTGCGCGTGAAATTCAAGAGTATTTCGAAATTTTATTCCTTAATTTTGATACAAAAAAACTTAAATTCGAACACAAAAGGTTCTAGTACATTAGAATTTCATCATCAGAGGTAATCTTAAAAGAATTTSCTCCTAAAAAGGTTTGGCAGAATTTGTCTTCGTCGAATCAGCGAATCAAGGAATGCAAATGGTGGGCATAGAAGATATCAAGTCTCTACATGAAGCAGGACTCTTTTCCAGTGCAAAATTATTGGTAATTGTAAATGTTTTTACTTAGTTTGATACAATGAGTTTAGAAATGTTATTTTATGTTATTTTATYATTAAAATGATTTATCGCCTAATAATATTTTGCGCAATTAGTATAGAACGATCTCGAGTACAATTCGGAATAAATTATAGGTACGAGTACAATTCGGAATAACTTATAGGTACGAGTGATATTTTGAAAGTTTTCAAAACTGGACGAGCCTTTAAGCGAATTCAATTTGAGAACTTTCAAAACATCTCGAGTATTTATAAATTTCGAGAAGATTGTTCGATTTTTTGTTTATAATCAGGGGTGGCGCAGCGTCTATATAAGTTGGGGAGGGGGGAGCGGGGGCTTACCTTTGTAGGTCTATTAGTCCAGAAAAAAACACGTGACTTTGTACGGATTGGAAAAAGGTAACCCATTGGGAAAACCGAATTATTTATTTGTGTGCCTCTTGTTTTCATTTCATTTCATTTACTAAAAATTACAGTTTGATAAAAACCTGGGGGGCACTAGTCTCYCCCGTTGTCCCAGATAATACACTCRAAAAAATTAAGCAACTTGATTGGGACTCTACAGAACACAATTTGGGATTAAATTGTACTCCTCTTGTCCAATCAGAATCAAGTAATTTTGTAGAGTGTAATATTCYGGCGTGTTCAATCGATAAAAACGATAATCTATAATTCAATATTGATATTTATCAATRAAATTAGTTAATAATATTGGAAATTGATAAAAATCGATTAGCCCATATTTTGTGAGAAAGTTATTTTTATAATTAAGATTATCAATTTTTCAATTACATWTAAGCTTATTGATTTTTCAATTGTATCTATCAATTATCATTGATTGTTATATTCCAAAAACCAATGACATTTACGTTTGTATGATAACTGTGTYGTATTTGTGCACCACTGCCTCAGCTATTACATTGGCGTGTCTCAAATTTATTATGAGTACAGTATCAGTAAAGTGTCTGAATCAGTCTAAGTTGTGTGATCTGGCCTAAGTAGATGACGTTGACCAATACGATCAATACCATTTTAGAGATTAATATTGATAGCTATTGATTTATCGATTGATTTTCCAATAGCAGTTTTTWTCGATACTACACGCCGGGTTATATTGGATGAGGTTGAGCATGACATTATAAATTATCAAGACTGAGGTTTGTGTTTTCTGCCGAAGCTGTAAGCTGAGCACAGACCTGARGTCTTGATAATCTTTGATATACTGTAATGCAAAAACTGAATACAATAATATTGTTCTATTATACATTTATCAATTTAGAAAGCTAKCAAGCTAGAGACAACATGATGAATATTTAGCAATTACCCCTGGAACCAGATTGGGCTATTGAYTCATATGCCATGAAGGCAAGAGGACCAATTCTTTTAGTCAARTCCAACTAATTAAAGTTAAATTGCCATTTTTTTGGTTTTCAAAGCTGGTACTTTTTGCTACTAACTACATGTACTAGTTAGGATATAACTTATAGCCTAGTAGTACATGTAGCTCTTCATCTATTGCATTCATGATGGACCACTAGTTGGATTACGCTAAAAAAAATCTCAATTTACAAGCTATTACAAGCTGTGACCTTGAGTAAACTTGACAGGATGAATCTATTATCTGCAAATGTTTTTGATGATAATAGATTTGTATCTTGTTGCGTTTGTGCGCCAAAATTGTCCACATGTTTTCATTGAATCAGAATTGAGAAAGTGAGTAAAATCTATAATAATTATAGTAATAGTATTATTGTTTGTAAAAGATAAGCTTAAAAATGCGCATCTAATCCATTTTTTTGGAATATTTAATAATAACTGGCTTTGTCTGGCAGACAAGTTTCTCCATGTCAGTCCAAGAGAAAGATAACCAAGATAAACAAGATGTTACAAATTTGACAACCAAGTCCAGTTTGATGGTTTTGTTTGGGGATTCGTTGTTTGAGGATGAACAGTTTAGAAGAGCTGAGGTAAGAGTTTTTACTGGGTTGCCTGTGGTAGMCCAGTCATAAAATGCCTTTGTTTCTTTTTATAGTCTCCTTCTAAGAAATGTTGCATCCTTGCGCAAGAGTACCCATTTATGGATTTGAATGACATTGTTCATAGATAACTGAATGGCTCATAGATTGGCTTAGCAGCTGAGGATTTAATTCTGGGCTTTAGAAGTAATATAATTGAGCAGTAAAGGAAGATTTCTAGGATTGTAATTCAGATTTTTATTCGTATTAACACGGCTACTCAGTCGGCAGTCTTCTGGCTTCAGTCGCATGGGTTRGTAGAGCCTTAATCAAAATACAGCTTCCAGTTTTTGGTCATAATAAGGCATATACATGACAATATCGTTAAATTTCACGCGKTAATCAGAGCTGCTAACTTTGGCCGGAAATAATTTTCGCTAAGTTTTGAATTCTTTTACTGACCAAGTTTCACAGTTCAACTTCACTGGTTTGGATATTTGAGAGAATAAGAGAAAAAATATATAATGGTTTGGATATTTAAAAAGACTRTATTCGAAGAATATAATTATTAATGGAGATTAATCGAGAACTTCAAAGCGGTTAGCGAAAAAAGCTAGAACCATTTAAACATATTCCTAAACGGATTTATGTTGCTTCTTCAAGGCCTATACATGGTTCTTGAAAGAAATATATTTATGTCATCAGACACCACGAGCCTTGGGGTCATGTTAGTTGTTGTCAGTGTAGGAGCCTATTAAAACTTAGTGACATCAGTAGCGCAACGCTGTTTTCTCTGGCTACAAAACCACATCTGTATAGTTTTACTAATCAAGTGTCATTACACTTCACTGGTTAAAAGATAGACAAAAGCGATACATTTTTATTTWAAAAAAAACATTTAAAAGGTGTAAACTTTTGAAGAAATTTGATGTGAGGAAAAAAAAGTGTTTGGTAGTTCTGAAAGAAAATTACACCTATGTTCCAAAGTAAGATTAGGTGTTAAATAGGCTCCAGCATATTGGGCAACCCAGTGCATGCTCCAAGAGCATCTTGTTTAAAACTTATGTCAGTTTTATAATCCTTCCTAATTACCAATTACAAATGCAAAATAGTCATGATGAAGTAGGTTTTGGTGGATGTCAATCAAGGCATTTCCATGAAAGTTCATARAAATTGTACATTGTATCAATAGTTGGGAGATYACGATGGTAGTGTAAGAGTTGCATGAGGTGGARCCAAGTGCAACTCTAGTTACCAGAGTGTTCTCCCAACTATCCAAATACTTCAAAAACATGACCTACCCATTTCTAAGCATTGCTCATTTATTTTATGACATATATTATAAAAGGTGCAACACCTTCCACCAATGTTGATACCAACAATCCTAAGACCATCTGGTTTTCTCTGCCATTCAAAAACTAGAAGTCTATTTTAGACACTATAAATCTGTTAGAAATAATTCTAAGCTTAAATGCACACTTGATTATATTTTGAAATGATGTTAGACTGCACAATATTAAGTAAATTTAAATTATTATTATTATAAAGATTTTAAGCTCTTTATGAATTTTAGTTATTTTTAATATACTTCTATTAATTTACATTTTCTGGGTTAGCACTATAGGGTTAGGACTAGGTTTGGGGTTAAGCGTTTATGGTTATGTATGTATTATGCTTTTTAGATTTTAGACTAGATTCTTCTATAACTTTTTTGTTTTGGTTGTTGTAATGATAACATTTTAAAATTTAACAGGCACCAGGACCACTAAAAACTATATCTGAAAAACACCCCTCTTGAAACTTGTTTGGTTAATAAATGATGAATAAAACACTAAAAAAGAAATTTCTTTATAAATTTTATAAGGCTTTCCGCCGTAGCTGGACACGAATACTATATATGACTTATCAAACCTCTAGGYTAGTTYCTTTGTGTTTCACTAAAATTTTCAAAATTAAAGTGAATTTGGCCAAGAAAATCCAACTTATGTTTATGCAAATGAACACAGTTTTGTATCAGATTTACAACACTTGTCACGGTCGTGATTTCTGTTGGGTTTTCCTCATTAATTATTCATGAGTTTGATAATGCTAATTCCAAAGTCGACGAAGATTTCAAGTCTCGATTCTTATAAAACTAAAGCTAAGGGAAGCACGGGTCGCGTAGCTGCGAGAGTGTACGCCTCCCACCAATGCAACCCGAGTTTGAGTCCCGCTGAGCTGGGTGTTGTATATGAGTAGAGTTGTTTGTTGGTTCTCTCAGACTGTGCTTTGAGGGTTTTCTGGGTTCTCCCGTTTTCCTCCCTCCACAAAAATCAACTCCTAAATTCCAATAGCGCAGTGCAACCATGACGTCATACAAATGAAAACACAGGTGAAATTTGGACAAACAAACWTACAAGTTTACTTTCAGCAGATWATTTTCATAGCCGATCGMAGTTGATTTTAGTTTACATGGGTTATTATTGTAACTTTAAGTAAAAATAATAAAATCGGTTTGTATAATCCTCGTAGCAGTTAAGCAGAATCCAATGTTGGTCCGAATCTTTAAGCTATTTTTAGAATCAGTGCACTGCGCTATTCGATAACAGAATGAGGGCCACAGGTTTGTTAGCCACTGTTAGCCACTTTGTGTATTTTGTAGTGTACTGTACATCAAAATACTATTGTGATTTCACGCTTGTGATTGGAAAATGCTGTAAATAATCAATTTCCATGGTGATTGATGGTCTGTTTCAATGGACATTGTTTCTGTCTTGTGTACATTTTTTACCTGCTGAATGGCAATTTTTCAGTAGAAATATACATGTATCTGGATGATTGAGCATTAAGGGAATGATCTCCATTTACTAATGGCTGGTAATAAAGATTCATTTATGAAGCTGTTTTATATCAAGCAATAGAATACTACTGTATCTGGTTGATACATGTATTACATGACAGGCAGCATTTGCCCTCCATTGAAGGCTGAAGTTTCATGAGATTCATATTCAGCTAATTGGAACCAATTGTAAGCAATGGTCTGATATCTAATGATCATTGTGGAAGTCCAATTCCCTCTGCAATACGAAACTTTWAAGAACTGTTTTTATTTAAAAATATTCTGATGTTCTCTTTTGTTGTTTAGTATTACTACAGCAAAGCCCTTCAATGTAGAAAAGCTATTAGTAAAACTAAATCCAAGACAAGTACATCACAGGTATGGCCATGCATGTTTATTGTATTGTATCACAGACTCGTTTTTGTAAGTGAATATAAAAAAACAAAGGMTAAAATCATGGTGTATGGGAAGCATGGATGACTGTGGGCAGCGACCAATGAGTTAAATTACATACTTAATTGTGGTCATTAATTCAATTCCCAGACTCAMCATCACATTTGAGTACTGGTAGACTTTGTCTCTTATATACACATTTTTTCAGTCAACACCATATGCATAAAAAAAGATTGAATTACATGTCATTCGAATTTACTTGATTATAGGGGTTGATACTAGAAGTAGAGGTCAAGTACAAGGTGTACCAATGTTACACCTGCCTTAAAGAGCATAAAGAAGCTTTGGCTATTGTAAGTACTTTATATCTCGCTTATCTCACTTGAGATACAGTGAACACCTGCGTGTAGGAACCCAATGATATAAAAACCTGTTTAGTTCAAGCAGGTTCTTATATGTGGGTTACAGTGTAATTTAATATGATAAAAATTTCAACCATTTTAACATTCTGTAATCAGTTTTGTTAGGCTTATCATGATACAGTTGTGAAGAACTGTATATTACAAGACCAAATTAAACCCAAGTTCATTTRTTTTTCTGGTAATCAAAAATGTTATATCTCCTTCGTAAATAAATAAAAAATAAGTCACTTTTATTTAAGTGTCTAGTCGTTCTAGTGCTTTTGCACTAATTGGAGGCACTTTTTGCACACAAGCACTTCCACTACATTAAATGTTCTATGCACGCAACGCTCAACTCGCATGTTGATTTTTATGGAGGGAGGAAACCAGAGAACCCGGAGAAAACCCTCGTAGTCATAGGAGAGAACAACTCATCAATGAAACTCAATTCAAATGTGGCGACAGCAGAGCTTGAAACAGCAACCCGACCCGTTGGACTCACGGCGGTGAAAGATGACGCATTAGCTGCAAACGCCACCCATGCTACCCATAGAAATTAAGAACCTAATTAAGAACCTACTTTGCCTAAATTGCCAATAACTACTCAAAATACAAGAACCTATTTGCCAGACTTCTAATAATGAAGTATGATATTTTTACGATTATTTTTTGGAGTCTGTGACGTCATACACTCAACATYGAACATCGCTCCATACATTTYTTTGTAGTTTATGATCAAAATATCAGTAGTAAAGGGAGAAAGAAATACCCAAACACCCCAAAATATAAATTATAGTCACAAGTAATGTGAAATAAGCACATTAGCCACTCTTTGGGCTTCATAGGAATAAAATAAATTAAGGATTTATATACAAAGAAATATATGTAGCAATGTTTGATGTTGAGTGTATGATGTCACAGACTCCAAAAAATAATCGTAAAAATATCATAATATCGAGAAAACACTTCATACAGTGATTATTGGACCTTTAAAGAGTATTCTTAGGAAGTTTCAGCTTTATCCAAGTTTGAGCGATTTTCGTTATAGTAGCACTTTAAACCATAAAATGCAGTTCAAGAGACTCGATTAACTGTATTTATTTTATATAAACAAATGCTCATCTTAAGTATAATTAAATCTAAACACAAGGCCCTCCCCCTTTCTCCCTTTGCACATGAAGTGAATAGTTGAATGGTAGAATATTTTTCCATGATTTGAGTGATGCATCTAGGAGATATCAAGGTTTACTCTTTAAATGTGTTAATTACTGTGATGTCATAGGAGGTATGATTCAGTGGCGGATCCAGGGGAGGGGTGCAGGGGGTGCGCACCTCTTCCTGGTTTGACTTTGTACCCCTACTTCAAAGATTAAACCCATACAAAATGTTTTTTCCCTTTGATTCTAAGGGGTGCACCCCTCCCTAGGTTWACTATGTGTGCTGCACCCCTCCCTGAACAAATTCCTGGATCTGCCCCTGTTATTAAATATTCTTACCAAGCTCATTAATAATTCATTAGGGAAATACAATAGAAATCATGACTCTGAAGAGGTTTATAATTTTGATACAGAATCATGCATGTTCATTTGCATAAACTTTAACTTGGATTTTCTTGGGCAGATTCACTTTTATCTTAAAACTTTTAGTGAAATACAAAGGAACTATTTATACTTAGAYGTTTGTTAAGCAATATAAAATATTCCTGTCCATGTTGTATACAACATGTAAACTCTCGGCTATGCCTCAAGTTTATATATTGTTTACAACACAGCCACTCGTACTGTATAATTATTACAAAAAGGTTTCTGGGGCAGTAAAACATTCTGTATAAAACGTCATTGTCTTACTAACGGTTTATAGAAAGRTTATTGCAAATTTATTTTGTTTTCTTTTAGTAATCTAGTAATTTACAAATGATGACAAATAATTCTCAAATGCCTCCTATTACCTCACACTCATTAACATATTGGAAGTATGAACCTTGATATCTCCAAGATGCATCACTCAAATCACATWAAAATATTTTGCTATTCATTTCTACTAAAACCATCACTAAAAATATTGGGTTAAAGGGGAGGGGCACTTTAATGTCAGCAGGTAGTGTTTAAAAAAAAATCATGTGATCTATTTCTAACCTATCAAATGCAGTGGCAGATCCAGAACTATTTCAAGGGGGTGACTATTATCTAGAAAAGCATCATATAGTGTCCTTTTTAATTCTTACCTTAGTCTTTATTCTTATTGTCATAGTGACATAGTCTTTTACAGTGTATATCATCTATAGTAACCAGAACTGCAAGTCAGTGATCTTATACATAGCCATGCATTATACAGCTGTAGACTCAGTACTTAGTTATAAATTRCTATTGTGTATTCTTCACGAGAAGCAGAATAAAAGGAAAAGGCTGGAAATATCTAACATTGTTAATATCCCTTTTCTAAATTGTGCAGGTTTGGGGTTATGAAATTTTTTGAACTTCAAAGGGGGGTGACTGATCACCCAATTCACCCCCTGGACACGTAGATTAATTACTTGAAATGCTTGAATTTCATGTGGACAATATTGCACGAAAATTGTATATTGATATGACATATAAGAAAATGCGACAACTTCAATATTTATTTCAGAAAATCTTTTTTTATGATCTGAATGTTCAATTATATGTCATGTTAGATAAGTTGATAAGACAGTGTGTGTTATCCACAGCTTGAAGGAGTTTCCCAAAAGCAAAGGACACCCAAAATCAACATGGCTCTTGCTAGTTTATACCATCGGCAAGGAATGGAGAGGTATGCTACATGACCATACTTATAATATTAATTTTTACTGAGTAACACACCCTGCTGTTTTGTTAACACAAAGTTACCACATAAGATTTGCTATTTGCACGCACATTTAATAGSGGAGCTCCCGCACGGAGCACCATACTTAGGAAAAAATGGTAAACCATCGAGTTGATTTTTCATGGCTTGGCTGACGTCACTTCCGTCCGTACGTCCGTCCGTACGTGGATGGATGGCTAGATATGGTTAGGTATGGTAAAGGATGGCTAGGGATGGTAAGGGATGGCTAAAAATGGTAAGGGACTAGGGATAACTAGGGATGGCTAGGGATGGTAAAGGATGGCTAGGGATAACTAGGGGTGGTTACAATACCTACCAACCATGTACATGCCATGGCATGCATTTTATTTAGCCATGGAGTATACACCGCAAAACTCGCTAGCGAGAATTAAGTGTGAAAAAACTCGCTAGCGAGAATTTAAAGCACAAAAACTCGCTAGCGAGATTTTTGTCGTAAAGAAAACTCGCTAACGAGAATATACAAAGAACTTGCTAGCAAATACTGAGCCTAAAATATAAAAATTGGAACACGTAATTTTTATATTTCCACCCTGTAAAAATCAATCTGAACCAACAAAAATATTTCAACCCCCCTAAAAAAATTTCGGTCCCTTTTGGCAGCAGCGGCATTCCATACATAAGTAAACATATATGGCGGACGATAACTATAATATATGTAGTAATATATGTAATATTATGTACATCGCAATCTTGGATATTTACTTGAGCCCACGCTATTTTTTTTCCGCGTAAAACCGTATTTGTCAGCACACGTCATTACCGCAGGAAGACCAATCAACAAATTTATGTCTGGCGTGCTCCCAAAGTTGAATACTGAATACTGCATACTAAATAGTGCATTCCAAGACCGAAGTGCATTGTGGGTCATAGTGACATTGTCTAAAGTGGGATTATCAGGGTACCCCAAATTGCTCAAAAATATCGATTTTTACATTTTTACATTTTGCGATAAAATACATAATATTCTTCGATTTTCTTCCAAAAAAAATTTCGATAGTGATTTTCATTTAGCGAGTAATAAAAAAAACCGGTTTGTGTCAACAAATGCGCTTCCGCTTAGTCAGAAACATTTTTGCGTTTTTCGCGGAAGTGATTTTGCGTTCAGTTACCCGTACGTTTTGAGTCCGATGTCAAAGGGAATTTGACCAATTTAACTGAAATTTTTAGTAAATCATCTTGGATAGTTGTTCTTCAAAAGTGTGTCTCCGATTTTTGATTTTTTGCTTATTTCCAAAGTTATCGTGGATTTTGGCTCGGATACAGCTGATATAGCGGCGTCATAACTTTAAGAGCATATAAAAAAGCAACGGGGCAACTAATCAAAAATCGGAGACACACTTTTGACAAGTGATGTCTTGTGATCTCGGAAAGGTAATAAGCATTGGTTTCCGATCATTACCGGCTGTCATCGAACTCCGCGAAGATGCCACGTTGAAAATTTGAATAATTTGCTCTAACTTAAAAGGATAAATGTATTTTACAAAAAGGAAAATAGGAATAGTTTCCACATTTATTCAGCTTTCAGAAAATGTATACTTTGTTGAGGTTTCCTTTAAAAGGTTTTGTGCTATTAAGAGTTGAATGCACAATGGTCGCTAGGGTTACCCTGATACCTTAATGTCTAGTCGCGAGGGAAAAAGTTAGTTTTGTTTTCCCGAGAGTCTCGATGTTTCACGAGACTTGAGGTAAAACAAAACTACTTTCYCGAGGGACCAGACATTTTAAAAGTGTTTTGTTAGTCGCTTTTTTATTCGCTTTTTTCGTATTTTTGGAATCCTTTTTCTCAATGAAAATCCTTGTAATTTCTCTGTAGAAACATTGGTAACTCGTTGTAGTTTTGCTTCGAGCTCCATTTATACTGAAAATTCAAGCAACATATAAGCTCCAGCGTTTTTCACGTTTTGCTCACAAGTTACTTATTTCCCAGTCGGGATACATTTAGATTRAGCTAGTGTCACGTGACTATCTTTCAACCAATGAGGGTGTTTTTTATATCGGAAAATTTTGTAGCTATATAACAATAAAACTTTTTAAAATACGATTAATGATAAATGACATGTTTCGGCATTCTCATGCCATTTTCAAGAGTAAATGAAAAGTGTGTACAACTTAATAAGAATTTTTTTTCAATAACGAGCAAAAAGCGCCAAAAACTATACTTTCGTATGAGTYTTGATCCCAATTTTCGTTTTGGGTTAAAACTCAAACCCTTTTTTAAACAGTTGGAAACTTATGTGCTATGATAAAATGCTTGTTTGAAGCGGTATTTTCAATTGTACAAAGATGTTTTTTTGCATTTGTGTTAGAATGTTGCTTTGTCAGGCTTTTTTTATAGAACATATACGCTTATTTCAATAAAGTTAGTCACCTTAAAAGCTATAAGCTGAGGCCAACCAGGATTATGGGTAGATTCATTTTACACGTTCAACCGTTTGATAACTGTTCATGGACTTGAAAATCTTTTACCGGTTACAGTCTCACCTCTTCTGAGCATCATCGAGCTGCAGTTTGTATTTAAAAAGATTTGTATATATATGCTTTTTTGATATGAAAAGTTTCCCATGATGCTCAGTGATCTCAGCTTTCTAGGTTTTTGGTGTCTAACTTTATTGAAATAAGTGTATATGAAATAAGCAAATGAAGGCCTAAACCTCATTGTCGATAAAAATTTTTGCTTTGGGTTAACACTTTGATTCCACTTCCAAACAAGTTAAACTTTCTGATAAGAAGATTTTTGCCTTGTACAGCAGCCTTTCTTTAAGAAAATAGTTTTTTTAGTTTTTGTAATATTAAACTATTTAGTTAACTAAGGAACTATAAAAAGAAAGATGTTTTCATGTGTTTAAAATTTTTATTGTCTTTCGTGCTATTTCGTGCTATTATTTTATATAACAAGAATATTTTACTATTTAACTTTTAACTTCATGTAGAATCAATGCTGAAAACATTGAGTTAGGGGTCATAGGCACTTTTTAAAATCATATTTCTGCTAGTCATTACTGCATAATGTCCTACGCGTTTCAAGCCAGGTGACTCCGCAAAAACTAAAGGCTGAAAAGACACGATTTGCATGATTTGGGATGATTTGCACGATTTGCACAAATAAAAAAGGCAAAATTTGTACGATTCCGATAAAAAATATGCCGATACGAGTCCTTGCACGATAAAAAACTTGCACTTTTTAGCAGTCAACTTAGCAGCTTTTTTATCAGACATGCTTCGGGGCAGTTCTTTATGAGAGAGATAAAAACTACACATTTTCAAACTTCTTCTGCAGAATTTAATTTCAGTGCAATTTCTACCTTAGTAATCGAAAATTCAAATTTTAGTAAAAGCCGACACTCAAAAGACTCTGGGTGGTGCCCATGGGATGAGAAAATYGATATTTCAATAACCTATTCAAAATACAATRTATCAGTTGTAAGTTTGAAGCATGAAAAAAATATGAAACTTTTATTGTTACTAATATTGCTGGTTGTTATTATTATAACTAAACCACTTGCTTTAACAGCAAAAGACATTTGAGTACAAATCTACATTTTCTCGGCGAAAAAATAATAACATAAWTTTTGTCACGGACGTTACAAGGGTTTGTGCCCCAAAGCATGGTTTTTCAAAATTACATTCTAGTATCTGCGTACATTTTCTTTTAATTAGTCCCTATCAACATAACAACACCGCAAGATGTGAAAAAATCCGCTGTTTGCATTTTAAATTTGCGTTACGGACGTTACACCAACATTGTCCTTGACGTTGCAAAGTGTTATTCTTGACTCTATCATTGTTTTTATTCTTGTTTTGTGAATTCAAGGTAAAAAATGTCATTGCAATTGCTTTTTAAAACAATGTTCATTTAAAATCATATTATGGTGAGTGATACTTAAAAAAAAAAAAAATGATGATAATAATAATAATAATGATGATAATAATAATAATTTTATTCTAGCGCATTACACAATGTCTCAATGCTCTTACAATATAGAATAAATCAATTAGTGAATAAATGAATAAATATATTATACACGCGCGAGATCCATAGCTCGCGATTTAAAAAGTGCGAGATCCATAGTTCTTATATTAGTTCTGAACTTTGGTCTTGATAGGCGTAAATGGTCATTAGTATTAGATCGTAGGACTCTGTTTTGCTTGAGTAGGGTGAGCAAATCAACCAGGTGTCCAGGTGCCATGCCATTTAAGACCTTGTAAGTAACCAGCAGGATCTTGTAAGTGATGCGCTGGCGTACAGGGAGCCAATGAAGATTGCGTAAAATGGGTGTGATATAATATGAATGATAATAATAATAATAATAATAATAATAA